AATGTTGAACACCACCAGAGGGGCTCTCACCTGAAAGGTCTCTGCTTCATGTGTCTTCAGCAGAAGATCTAGACTTTGATTGCTATATTTTCAGTTAATATTGACCTTACTGAGCTTTAGCCATATCCGCTGCCTATCATAAAAAATGTTAAGTACAGTGAACCTTTCTAAAATATACAGTAGTAAAGAGACAAACCCACCAGCATTATAGTAGCCAAATTCTTGTTTGTGGGCTGTATATATAAAATTGACTTGAAAAAGTTGCTGATTTTAGAGTACTGGCACCTTTTTCATTCCAATTCAAGCACTGAGCACACGTACTTACAGCCAATCAGCTCTGAATTATGTGAGATGACGTATGGTGGGGATGGCAGCTCTATGCCCCTATGGTCATTATTTTTTTGCCACACACATTAAATAGGAAAATATTCTGAGCATGCGCAGTGTAGTTTTTACAGTCACCATTGACTTAGACAGTAGAGGGAGGGGCAGGATCGGGTTTTGTCCCACATGGCTCTAAACAGCTCAATAGGCACACACTGTAGACACTAATTAGAAGAACACAGACTAAAACAGCAATGTACAGACGAATCAGATGATTAAACATGATCTTAAAATATATTTAATATATTTTTTAATTTATTTTTTGCATTTTTTGGTAATCATTATTTGTAATACTTTCTGCTGACACTAGGTGGGGCTGTGCCCCACCTGCCCCTAATGACCAGTCGCCACTGCGGCTACTGCCAACACTGAAAACATGATACAGCAATTCAGTTTGATGGATAGAAGTTTGCATTCTGCTGTCCTAACAGGCATCTTTAATATGATCACACTGGCCATGAAACACAAAGGTGAAAACTAACATGCAGTGTCAACCAGAAACGAACTGTACGGGTCTACCATACCTGTTCCCAGGGTCGTCTGTTTACGCCTACTTGGGCTGCTGCTGTAAACAAACAGATCTGCCTCTGAAGTTTACTGGCCAGGCCTGAGACAGACAAGTAGGAGTGTGTCTGTCGCACTACAACGCCAGTAAACAATATATTGAGTGGATGAAGACGTTCATGATGAATGACCGAAAAACAATTGGGGAAACTCGCACAGGACAGGCTAACGTTGTAGGCTACCATCTCTAAAATCACGGTTCGGCTCCTTCTGGGCAAACAGCGACAAAATACAGTGACTGTAGCCCCGTTCTTGACTCACATGTAGCTAACGTTATCTTGCAGTATGTTATTAGCTAACTTGTTCTCGTCTTCATGTGGCTTATCCAAAATATATGAAGCCCTGCGCAAATTAGCACAATTTAATTGCAGAGTAACGAATCTTTAAGCAAAACAGCATTTATCAAACGTGTTTTCATTAAAGTAAAGTTACCTGTTGACTGGTGAGCTGGAGCGTAGTCTGCTGGAATGACCTCTCAACCACACATAGTTTCGACTTTATTCTCGTAACATTACGACTTTATTCTCATAATTATGACTTTATTCTTGTATTATTACGACTTTATTCTCGTAATTATGACTGGGTGATTCTCTGAATCGGGTGCCCTTTGTGTCCCCCAAGCACTTCAAAGATTTGAAAGGAAACTACCAAAATATATTTTAAAGCACTGAATTAAAGGAACAGGGTGTTTTGCATTACAATGTAAAACTAAATATATATATTTTGTTTTTGTTTTATAATAATTAGTTGTATTTGTAGTAGACAACACATATTTTTGCATGTCCTCACTGAGCATCATCACATATTCATTGAATATTAAACAAATAGCAATTGCTAATTATACCAACATTTTGATGCTAATATAATCATATGCGTGTATACTTTAACTGAGAAAAAAAAGAATCTGAAAAAATACATGAATTATCTTATGAAATTGCACTATTGACACACGTCCCCGAGTTTGGTTCAACCCCGTCACGCTATACATTTTACCCCCCTATTAAAATAATGGATCAGTCCATGTGACATCTGCATTGAGGGAGTGACATCACAGAAGTCTATTGAGGAAAAACAATATTTTATATTTTTATTTTTAATGAACAAGGTAAATATCATACAATTGGTATCAGTAAAATGTATCATCTACAATAAAATCTCGTTTAAAATTGTGTTACGATGTCTAAAGTTACTGATAAGTCACATGTTTCCTGCCTGGCCTTGCCCATGGCATTAGTTTATCATTACCGGGCGGAGCCCCCGAGACAAACAGCAGCAACCAGCACGTTGCAAAAGTCTCAATAGTAAACTGTGCCGCCGAAACATAATTTCAGCCAATCAGCGCCGTCAAATATTTTGGTCACGAGGGCGCTCACGTTGGCGCCCAACGCACGTAAGCAACGCGTTGTTTTTTTAGACTCGTGAGTGACCAACAACTAGTAGTTGGATGAGAATGGTGTGCAGCCGGTGGAGTCGCCGGACCTCAGTCCGCACCCAATTCCGTGCAAGAGCTACTCTCCAATCCTTTCGAAAGGAGAAGTTTGGGAGATAAATTGATACTTAAAGACCTTGGACCGGACCAACCCGATTTGTATATATCGCAGCAAGCTCGTGAAAAAGACACGTAGCTGGTACACCAGAAAGGCATGGCTAGCTGGATGCAAACAGGTAAATGCTGTCTTTTGTTTCCCATGCTTGCTCTTCAAACAGCCTGGCTGGGACAGATACGATCTGTTCAGAAACTAGACACAAGTTAAACAAGTACAAACCACAGACTGTCTGTGTCATGGAGAATACAGTCGCTGGTTTATTTATGTCTGTATAGGCCGTTGCTGTGAGTGTGGACGGTATATAACGTTAGCTTAGCCAAGCTCCATTCAGAAAACAAGCATTCTAAAAGGTTTTTCGCCTGCCGTCTGTCTGCAGACTTGTCAAAGCATTAATTCATGGTTTTTACTAACCGGTATCAGTATTTTGTTACTTCGGCATCATTTAGAAATGTGTATTACAATTTAATCACGGTAAAATATGTTCATTTTGTTGTAGTTGTGGCTCCCGAGCCAGCGCGTCTTGTTTGAATGATGCGAGTAAACACAGCTGGCAGCCGCGGTGAAACTCGAGCGACTAGAGCGATGCGATAGGAGCGTTTAGAGCGAAGCGAATATTCGCATCGCGTCCGGTCTGAACGCAGCATTAAAGCGAGCTCCGCGCTGCACTGGAAACGCGCCATTACATCACCAGAAGTCCTAATTTAAGGGGTCATTTCTCCCAAAAAAAAATGTTTTACTCAGTATATCAACAGCCCCACCAAAAATATTTTCCACCAGCACTATATCGATTAGATTTATGATTCGAAAATTAGAAAAGTAGGGTAGACATGTGGATATTATCCGACTGAACAAAACGTGCATTTATCAAACAGGTTTGTTTTCCACTGACCTTATTTCGAGCTATTTTCCAAAATCCTATGGAGAAATCCCATTGCTTTTTTGTCGAGGGAAACCGAGCGCAGCTTACTTCCGGGTTTTAGGATGCGTCACTGCAACACTAAATTGATGCGATTTGATTGGATTGTGAGGCAAGGGAAGCCAGCCGCCTCTGGCTTCCCTTGGCATGGCCCTGACCAATCACAGGTTGGCAGGGGCATGACGTGAGCCTTGTCTGATTGGTCAATCCCTCCATTTTTTTTTCACCAAGGGAAGCCAATTTCGGCTGGCCTCCTCTCGCAACATTGAGTGCAATCTACTGTTTCACCATAACATCTAGAGGGGCGCTGTTTCACTCTTTGTAAAATACTCAATGAGAATGGGGCATGGAATGGGGGAGAGACGGGCCGGCAGCAACACACAACAAATAATTTCAGAAACTAAACGTTTTTATTTATTTATTAAAATTATAACTACAATCCGAAAAAACAGGAGAAGCCTGGCTTCCCTTGGCCTCCAGGAGAAAACGCCACTGGTTCTTTAGAAAAAATTAAACAATACTTGTGCAAAATACTACCATTTTATGATGTCCTTAAATTCCATGTGGTGCTATGTCTTAGCTAAACAAGGTCTCATGGCTACTTTTTGTCAAGAACTTCAACCCTGTCACATTCAACCCTGTCACATTTCTTATTATAACAGGGTTGAACTGTTGTGACAGGGTTGAATGTTTGATATTTCTTAGATGACTAAATGGTAATGTCTATCATTCTTAATGTTTTTTTAATGTTTAATATTTTCAGACATCACAATGGGAAAAACAGCAGCAGAGAGGCAAAGAGAGTACAAGGCAAGAAGGAATGCAGACCCAGATAGGAGGGAGAATTATCTCAGGAGTGAGCGCAAGAGGTGGAAAAGGAATACTGAGGAGGGGAAAAAGAAAACTATCTGTGATCTGAGTGACAGAGCTAAACGACAGAAGCGTAAGATGTGGAGGAAAGCTAAAAGAAGACAGAAAGAAAGGGAAGCTTTCAGCAATATCAACACTCCTCCACAAAGTCCTAATATTCAGCATGCAGTGCAGCCCAGATCTGAGTCCTCAAGGTCAGGGAAATATGTTGTTAGGGGTTCGTGTGTGTGTGTGGACTAGCATTACTATACTTGTGGGGACCTAAATCTGTTTACACAGTCACGTGTGGGGACTCACTGCCCTTATGGGGACAAAATGGAGGTCCCCATAAGGGGAATCATTCATTTTAGGGTGAAGACTTGGTTAAGTTTAGGATTAGGGTTAGGGTAAGGTTAAGGGTAAGGGTTACCCCCTAATCCCACCAGGAGCGTCTGCGCTGCGTTGCGCTGCGGCTGCGGCGTTTTTAGCGATCGCGGCCACTCTAGTCAATGGGTGCTATTCCACCAGACACGCTGCGTCCCAGAAGCTCCTCGCCGCAAGGAATTTCAAAAATATAGGATGAATCCTATTTTTGACGCGGCGCAGGCAGGAAGTGGAACATTCATCCGGCCCAGGCCCATCCCCCAAATAAACTCGTGTTGCAGACCCCCTTTCACAACACGACACCCAAAATGGACGAAGAGCGTTTAATCATCGAAGTGGAAAAACACACCATCAATACTACAAAGACAACGTCAGAAAGGACAAGGTCTGGTGTTTAGTCGGTGGAGTTATTGGAGTGGAAGGTAAATATTAATGTTTTAAAGTTAATGAATACTTGTATGTACAGTACAGAGCCATTCAGTAGTTTAACATGTTGTGAAAGTCATTAAAAAAATTAGTAAACTTGCACTTCACAAGAAAGTAAGATCTTATTTCCTATATCCAAATATAAACATATATATATATATTTATATATGTATGTTTATATTTGGATATAGGAAATAAGATCTTGTGTATTGACTTCAATCCTGTGTCTCATCTGTATGCATGATTGATTCTGTTAAATGCAATAACTCTATTAAATAACAACTTTGTTTTAAGCTGTGGAATTTCAAACACAATATAAATACAAAATCATATAATATATATACAGTATATATATATATATATTTATATATGTATATATACTGTATATATATTATATGACAGAAGGGGAAGCATCATGTTAATTACAACCCCCAACATCCATATGATAATTGCCTGACAATGGTCAGAGCGACACCCTTCTGTCTGAGAACATTTTGTAAAAACCTACATGCATACATTCCCATCATATATATTGTTATATACTGTTTTTTTAACTATACTTTAGCTTGTGAATTTTGCCCAGGGATCAATAGTTTTGTTTAACCCATTATAATGATAATATATTTTAATATTCAATTTATTTTGTATTAATTTTAAAGTATAGCTATCAGAAAAATGTAAAATGAAGAAATAATATTTCCCTCTGAGGTGTATTGTAGTAAAACAGGAAATTATATTTCACAAGTGCCATTGTACAATAGTACAGTAATTCATCAAATATAGGGCTACTACATTTTGATTTGTAATATTTTTTTACATCATTGAAAAAACAAACTACCCATAGTATAACCTTGTATTTATAGTCAGATAAATTGTGAGGACAGACAAGAATAATTTGGCAGACATTTGTCAGACAAAACTATTTATTATGAAATGTATTATCAAAAAAATACATAATAACATAGGATATTAAAAAATAAAGAACAGTTTTTTACAAATGCAACAATAACCTGTCTTTGGGAGTACAACAACTAATACTTTTTTGCTTTTTCCAAATTCTCTGGAATGAAAAAACACATCTTTCAATCATTTTGTCAGTGTAGTAACTTTTGTGTGTTCCAGTAATCACACCATCCTGTCCTGCCAGGACACACTGCCCTCAGGAGAGTTGAAGAATGTGCAGAAAGCCTCCCTCACATTACAGGCCTCTCTTGATGCCCTGTTTCCTCCCATGTTTCTCACTGGTGTCATGTGTCTCCCCTGCTGCTCTTCCTCATCCAGCAACCTCTGGTTTTCCACAGGGGCCAGCAGGAAGTTGTGTAGGATGCATGCAGCCACCACAAGCTTGTCCACGTTTTTCGGGTGCAGGTTGATGTGACGATGGAAGATTCTCCACCTGGAAGCCAGAATGCCGAAGGCATTTTCCACCACCATCCTTGCTCTGGAAAGTCTGTAGTTTAAAATCCTTTTTTGTTGAGTGAGGTTCTTTCCAGGGTATGGTCTCATCAGGTATGGCTTGAGTGGGAAAGCTGCGTCACCTACCATGACGAATGGCATCTCACCCAGGTGAGCAGCACCAGGTAGAGAGGTACTGGTTGGAACATGAAGTGTTCTGGCCTCCAGTCCTTTCCCCAAATCCGATCCGGCATACACCCCGCCATCACTTGTTCTTCCGAAGTCCCCCACTTGAATCACTCGGAACCTGTAGTCAGCATCAACAAGTGCCAAAAGCACTATGGAAAATGTCTTCTTGTAGTTGAAGTACTGACTCCCAGACCGTGGTGGTGCTTGGATGACGATGTGCTTTCCGTCTATTGCTCCCAAGCAATTTGGGAAATTCCATTTTCCCCAGAATCCTTGTGCAACCTCCTTCCACGTGTCTTCTGTTGGCCTGGGTAGGAACCTCTCCATCATCATTTTTTCAATGGCTGCACACACCAAATGGACAGCGTCTCTCACAGTAGTGCATCCTTGGCGATAGCTGAATGCTAGGCTGACCAGTGAGTCCCCGGAAGCCAAGTATCTGTGAAGGGAAAAACAAGCAAATAATTAAAAGTGATATCATTTTATTAATCGGAATCTATTCTTTTTTTCAGTCGAGGTTTGCAAGGCGAAATGGAAGTCACTGAGGGATGCTTTCGTCAAAACCAGGAAGAAGTCCATCCCAAGTGGATCTGCAGGTGGCTCGCAGAAGGCCTGGAAGTATTCAGACATAATGTCCTTCATTTTGCCATATAAACAGCAAAGGAGGTATGTATGCACATTTTTTTATTTATATAATTTTGTAACTTTGTAATTTGTCATGATGTATTGCAAGGGTATGAAAGAGTTTATTTTAAATTACATAAATATGTTCATATTGCATAAATTAATCCCAGGAACAAATATTTTAATTGATTTCATGTTGTTGTTTCTTTTAATATAGTTCTACAAGCAGCTTGGGAAATCCTTCCCCATTAGAAGAGATAGAGAGAGCATCTACACCAGGAGCAGCATCTGGATATTCAGGCCCACGCACACCCACACCACCTACAGCCCCACCACCTCTGGTACCCACAACCTCTGCAGAGAGGAGGCCCTCTAGGTCCCGTAGCCCCCAGGGATCCACACCAGCAGCAACGGCCCAGCGTTCCACAAAGAGGAGGCCACAGAGCACAGACCTTGGGGAGCAACTAATTTCTCTACTGCAGGAACCTCCAGCCACACATATGCCAGACTCACCACTTGAAGAGTCATACTACTTTGCTCTGAGTCTGGTGCCTCTGCTACAAAGGCTGGACATAGACAGGAAACATCGGGCAAAAATAGCTATTTTAAACACCTTCCATAGTCTTGAAAGAGAGAGTACACAACCACAGGAACATTGGCAGCCAATTTTCCATCCCCCCACGTCACAACACTCCACTCACACCTCCAGGCCAGTAGCCCTTCGGCCAACTGCACCCCAACCCCCACAAGCCCAATCAACAGGGCCATTCACAAAGCTGTTCTCCAACAGTGGCTCTGCATGGCAGGATGGGTCTCAATCAAGCGGCAAACTGTGGGGTAGAGCCGGGAAGCCAATACAGAAGTGCCACACACTGCAATTCATATATTGGCCGATAGGCGATGGCTGCAGAAAGGAGCAATTTCCATAGACCCCCCATGTTAAAATTCCCAACTTTACAGCAGAAAAAAACATGTTTCTACCCCTGGCTCCATACATTTTATTATCGATATAGTTAGATTCCACCTTCATGATTATGGATCTGTGAGTGAATTGTTTTCTAACACGACCCTTTTATTTATATTAGGTCTTAAAGTTTGTGCATAAATTAGGGCGTGGTCACATTGAGTGACGGCTCTGTCAAGTGCCTGCCGCTGTTAGCTTCTTGTCTCTCTGCTAGCTGCTCCGTGAAGCTAGCTACAGGGACTCTGCCTGCTCAGCTCATCCAAGAAACACAACTTGTAGCCGGCCGTGGTTGTTTGTTCTTCATGCTTATATATCGGACTATTGTGACTCGCTCTGCGGTTAAAACAGACGGTGCATGAATGCGGTTTTGCGGTAAGTGAAATTCTAGTGCTTTATTTATGTGTTAATGATTTTAATCAGCTACGTAATGAATGGTAAGGCTTGGGTTAGCATGTAAGCTAGTGGTAGCTACATCGGTGCTAACGATTGTAATCGTAGCCTCCAAGTTAAAATCATAGACTGTATATAAAGGTTACAACGAAATAGACAAGTGTTAAGTGGGATAATACTGTTGAACAAACGGCTTCTGTTTGAGGTTGATAAAATAAGGTTACATCCTTGTAACTTAGAGATATTTTATTATGTAGGTAGAACTGTATGCATCTAAGGTTAATTTAAATTGGCTATGCTCAAGTATGTAGACAAGCTAATGTCAAAGTAGTGTATGGGAAATTAACCTCACAATAAGATGTGTGTATATTACAATTATTAATGTCATATTTCAAGATGATTACTTAGATATTACAATATGGTTGGTTGAGCTGGAGTTCATTATTGAGCTTACACGTTAACGTCACAGTCATCTGAAGAACGAACCCAAACCTTGTTGTTTTTATTAATTGCATTACCAAATGGGTATCAAATAAACAGTAAGCATTGGTAACACAACTTCCAAAGTTACAGTAAAATAAAAAGGACCCTGACTCGGACAATACACAATCCAACATGTTCAACAGAAGAGAATCAGTTATATTGTTTGTACACATGGTACTTTACATATATCTGTTTGTTTGTTTAAGGTGTCCAGGTGATGCAGACAGGCTGGACCAGAGAGTGAGAGACATAACTGGACTCCTCACAGCAGTGAACTTCAGCACAGGTACAAAGACTCTTTTTTCATACTGTACAAAGAATCAAGAAAGATATTGGTTTAAATGAATGAAGTATTGACTTGAATACACTGATATACATTCCATTAAACAATACTAAATACTAGATCACCTACACATCAGTTAAGTTGAGGGTTTTTTTTCCATGCAAAAAGTTACATTTAGATGATAACAAGCAATATGACTTTGTCAGCTTTCTAATTTAATGTATTGAAGGCAAAGATATTTAACACAGTGAGAACTGCTACTATTTATCTCTCAATATTGTCTGAAAAAAACGTGGTAAAAGTGATTCTTTCAGTGAGACAACAGAGCAAGCTTCTACAGTTGCACTACGTTTTGATAACAGTTAAATATTATTTTGATAATAACATATATTTCAATGTTGATGAACTTCATACTGTTCATTCATAATCTGATTGTCTTTGTAGCTCTGTTGAAATAAAAAAAAAAACATTACAATTACAAAATAATTATATCTACAGCCCCTAAACACACAAACACACCGCTTTCATAAATAACACACTTGTTCTGCAATAATATGTTTTATGTTTCCTGTAATTTTTGTTAGGAAAGGACATGCCTGAAAGACAGGACATTTTCTCCTTCTCTGAGGGTCAAGAAGAACATCCAAGAGGAACATTAAAAGCTGATGTTATGAGATTTTAAGACCAGTACAGGACATTCACTAAGAAAGTACTTTTATTGTAAAAACAGTCAGCTGATCGAATGCAGCTATTTCCACATCTACACTCCATCAGCTGATTATTTCTATTTGCCTCACTTTATGAGCTTCACAACATGTACCTTGTTTTGCAACGTCACCAATAAATGGGGCCAATCTTCAGTCAGATGTGAATGTGTAATCTAACATTTTCAGTAAGAATAATGGACAAAAGGAGTGCAAATACAAATACAATTTATTGAAATGTGAACCAAAAGTTAATCAAATGTTTTAAATAAAAAGCACATATGGACAGAAGGTGTAAACCTATTAAATGTATAAGTAAACACATTTAGTCAAATAAAGTGACAGACTAGGCCTGTGCAGTTGGTATCAGCTATGCCCAGCATGGGCTCCTTCATCAGCCCTGGTCCTCCTCGCAGAGGAAAGACCCTCAGTACTCTCCAAACCAACAGACAGGACGTCCATCACACGGAGGTTTCTCCCTGAAGTCTCAGCAGCTCTCTGGACACCATGCTGTCTCAATCCGTCCACACTGAATATGAGAGGGGGAAAATGAAAATAATAAATGCTTAGACAATAAGAAACATAAAGTTGACTGTTGAGTTGCTCAGTTTTTTTAGATTGTCAATACTATTACTGTATAACTAATATCTCAGGTTAAGAGGCACATTCAAATAAAGATTGGTCTTTAAATACATTTTGTCTTTTGAATTGTTTGTCTAAAGTCAAGGATCTAGAACTGGTACTTAGTTTTAATGATACAGTCTGGTTATTATGCTGTTTGGAGGAGGCCTCACAGGTAAGAGCGCTAACTAGCTACCATCACATGTACCTTAGCTTGACTTAAATGTATTAAACGTATAGTTAAGTGATATCAAAATATAAATAACTAATGTCATGCAAACATATTAATATTTGCTTGATTCCAGTGTTGAATTTAGCACAATTGCATACAAACGTTAAGGGGTTTTAAGATTCTGAAGTATTATGCTAAAAGCTCAATAACTTAGATTATTATTTATAGTTTTGCTGAATAGTTTCATGTCCGCTTACCTTAGAAACATAAAATGCGCCGGCAGCGTGCAGATGGGGAGCATGTTAGCTTAGCTTGGTAGCTTCAGCTAGCTCTGGAACTTCCAGCTCGGTGGCAGCAGGTCCCGCCTCTTTGCCCTTATTTGGAGCAGGCTGGAGAAGGCGGGAGTTGAACTCTGGCGTAACTGTCGAGCCGTTAGTGGCCGACTCCGCCTACTAAGGGCTTCACGGCAACTCTGCAGAATCCTATGGGTGACATCACGGACCCTACGTCCATTTATATATACAGTCTATGGTCTCAATATGAAGACTTGTAATACATATTGTTTTTACTGTAAATAGTTCCTTTTTTGTGTTGATTTGCTGTTATTTGATGTTGGTGTTTAAAATGATGTTTTGGGTGATATGTTTCTAATTAAAACGTTTATTATACTTGTGGTCAGTGATTTATACAAATATTCAGAGTTCAACGTTATGTACTGAATATTAGTAGCCAAATTAGCAATCAAAATTAGTTACATTTTACATTATATTAGGAATTGTTGTTACTGCTGACCATATGGACTGATTCATTCCATTCATGTTTTTGATGAATTTGTGCTTGATGTTTTTTAAATGTGATTTTAAATACTTCATGTTCATGTTGTATCACCTCTCTGAAGAACCAGCACCTTACCGTGGTAGAGAGGTTTGTGTGCCCTGATGAACCTGGGGGCTGTGTTGTCTGGAACCTTGTGTTCCTGGTAGGGTTTCCCATGGCAAATTGGTCTCAGGCAAGGGGCCAGACTAAGATTGGTTCAAAAGACCTCATGAAAGACGATACAAGAAGTGAGGATACCCGGCCCGGAGGAAGCCCGGGGTCCCCTTCTGGAGCCAGGCCCAGAAGGAGGACTCGTCGGCGAGCGTCTGGTGGCCGGGCTTGCCACGGAGCCCGGCCGGGCCCAGCCCGAAAAGGCAACGTGGGCAACACCTCCGCTTCTCCGTCCCGCGGGCCCACCACCTACGGGAAACATCAATGGGGTCGGGTGCGCTGCCAGAAGGGTGGCAGTGAAAGCGGAGGGTCTCGACGGACCAGACCCGGGCGACAGAAGCTGGCTTTGGGGACGTGGAACGTCACCTCTCTGGGGGGGAAGGAGCCGGAGCTTGTGCGGGAGGTGGAGCGTTACCAGTTGGATCTGGTTGGGCTCACCTCTACGCACAGCGTCGGCTCTGGAACCTTACTTCTGGATAGGGGTTGGACTCTATTCTTCTCCGGAGTTGCTCAAGGTGTGAGGCGCCGGGCGGGTGTGGGGATACTCACAAGTCCCCGGTTAGGTGCTTCTTTGTTGGAGTTTACCCCAGTGGACGAGAGGGTCGCCTCCCTACGCCTGCGGGTTATGGGGGGGAAAACTCTGACTGTTGTGTGTGCTTATGCACCCAACAGCAGTTCAGAGTATACGGCCTTCTTGGAGACCCTGGAAAGAGTCCTGTATGGGGCTCCTGAAGGGGACTCTTTAATCTTGCTGGGAGACTTCAACGCACATGTGGGCAATGATGGAGACACTTGGAGGGGCGTGATTGGGAGGAACGGCCCCCCTGATCTGAACCGGAGTGGTGGTTTGTTACTGGACTTCTGTGCTAGTCATGGATTGGCCATAACAAACACCATGTTCGAACATAAGGATGCTCATAAGTGTACGTGGTACCAGAGCACCCTAGGCAGAAGGTCCATGATCGATTTCGTTATCGTATCATCGGACCTGAGGCCGTATGTTTTGGACACTCGGGTAAAGAGAGGGGCGGAGTTGTCAACTGATCACCATCTGGTGGTGAGTTGGGTCGAGTGGCGGGGGAAGCCTCTGGATAGACCTGGTAAGCCCAAACGTGTAGTTCGGGTGAACTGGGAACGTCTGGAGGAGGCCCAAGTTCAGGAGGCCTTCAACTCACACCTCCGGCGGAGCTTTTCGGGCATTCCTGTGGAGGTTGGGGACATTGAACCAGAGTG